TCGATCGCTCAATTCCACCTTACCGGCGCGCACACCTGTTGGCACGATTTCCGCGTTTTGCAGTTTTACGATTACGACGATAACCCCACCATAATCCGTGCGGTATCGCGCCGTGCGAGGAAGCCCGCTCGATACGATGATGATCCGCCGTTAATCGTTTGCACATACCCGACAATATGAGCGAAACACACGCGTCTCGATATTACCGCGTTGTAAAAGTCCGCAAGTTGGATGACCTCAGTTTCGCGCTGCATTATGACGCCGTGGCGGCGTTAAACGAATGCCGCTCCCCGGATCGCCGTAAATCGGAGAACTTTGTCGCGGCGCTCGTTCTCTCGCATACACGCGCGGTGTCGTGTGTCCAAAAGCCTTGAGAGACTCGGCAAACGAGACAAAAACAAATTGCCCATAGGAAATTTAATTACCGCCCTCTCTTCGAGGTGTCTTCGCAGCGCGGAACGCAAACAGCGGGCGGAAAGTTGTTAACGCTTGTTAACATGCGCGATTAGTCGCCCGCCGTCGGCGTATCGTCTCGTCTTTAGCATTTCGCCGATGATGATAATGGTAGTAGGCTTTGCGTCGGGTTAGAGATGAGTAATATGTTCTATACGTCAGCAAAAAATAGAAACACTGTATGTACACGAGATGTGAAATATAAAATGTGAAATATAGAATATCATAATTATAAAAGATCGGTCGGTGAAATGCCGGGAAATGATAACGAGTAACGAGATATTCGAATCAGCGAATAACAAAAATTTTATGAAAAAATTCCATAAATTATATTTATGATATGATATTTCGTAATTCGACGGCACCCCTAAATTAGCCATCCGCGGTAGATCCGTGTGACGCACAATACGCATGTCTTTGATAACTTTAATAATAAAGAGGCCAACGTGGCCAGTGAAGGAAAAAAACATTTGTATCTCGCGTAACGTTTCAGGAAATATCTAAAGCGAACAGCGAAAGTTTTTATATTAATAAAGGGGCTTATTCGCGAATAAAGAGGCGGTGAAAAGTTCCTCTCGTAGCGACGCGATAAATCGCGTATACAGTCGTGATTTCCGCGACGGCGGAAATAAATCTAAACTATAATCACGCATATATATATATACATATATAAACGCTTGGACGCGAATCTTTGTCGGATTTATCAATCCGTTAGGCTCGATTCTCACGCTCGTCTCGGCACTATCGCAATTAAACGAACAGTTTACAATCTTCGCGGACGATTTATCCGAGCGAGGGAAGGAAATCTTTCGACAGCAACGTTCGACGCATCTTTTATTTATTTATGCTAACCAGCTCTCACCGCGTTCACCCGCCTTGCCTTCAAGTTCACGGTTTTAAAATTTCATATTGAGTACATCCCGGCGTACACACACTCTCCATATTGATATGTATGGGACGATGCACTTTACTTTCTCTTTGGTCGAAACGCTTTTCATTTCCTGCCGAGGATACAGCTGATATAAAAAAAGTTTTCTCTCTCTCTCTCTCTCTCTGCGATTCTCGAAGGGAAACGTAGCCGCTTCTTTATTTCGTCGACTCTCATCTCTCCGTTCTTGTATCGTATTCTTCCGCATCACCGATCTACTACTATTACTACTCTCTTTCTCTATTGATCTTGCGATATAGTTTTCAGTTTGCTCTCTTGGATCGCTGCAATTGTTAACGGGATAGAACGAATCGAAACTCGGGACATTATTCGCGATCGATAACGCTCTCGGAGAGACACTCGTTATTCTTTCTCTTACAAATCAACCACGAATTTATCGTCGCGCAATATCTACTGTTGTAATGAACGAAATTCGCGCCGCCTCATCTAATCCGCGTCTATTTTATCGCACTGTCGTAAACTTTGCGCACCTTTCGATTCTTCGCCCGCGAGATTACGCGAATATCAGGCTCGACTGCCGCGCGAGATTTCATAACCGCGCTTATTTCACCCTGCCGACGTGACGGGGGCGAAATCTCAGCGCGGGTGATACATAAACACACATATATATACATATATATAGAGATGTATATGTAATATATATATACCGTATTCGCAGCGTGACAGTTGATGCGGAAACGCGCTAACGCATCCTCGCATTCGCGATTACTCAATCCTATCCCGATCGTAAGACTTTTAACTGCGCCCGCGATCGTTTCGTCTCCGCCCATTTAATTTTGACTTTTACACCATTTGCTCTGCCTTAACGCGGGATTTTTATTCCGCCACGGTGTAACGCTCGCTTCCTCTCCGTCTCTCTTCCACCCTCGTCCGCCTACCGGAACGTAATAAATCCCATCCTACACTGCGCTCTCTTACTCAGCGCGCAGCCTCGTCCCGCTCTTTCTCTCTCCTCTCTCTCTCTCGTCCGCTAGCTCTTTTCCCCCGAGCCCTTTATTCAACTCCCGTTCGGCTCGTGTCTCTCTTTCTCTCTTTCGCGCCGCGTGCACCCCCGTTTAAGTCGCGATAACCAGGAAGGTACGGCGGGACGTAATTAGAAAAAGCGCCATTTTTAAACCTCTTCCTTTCGCGCCCTTGGAACGAGCGCGAACGGCCGTTCTTAGCTTTTCGCCCTCGCGAGAGTGCGCACCCAGATTGGGGACCAAGTTTAGAGAATAAGAGAGAGAAGGAGAGAATGTACGTGTGTGCGTGTGTGTGTGTGAGAGATCATCGAAAAAATGGCGCGAGCGAGATGGGAAACGGCCATTTGGAAATTGCGAGAGCTATCAGATACTTCGGTATAGAGCGGCAGAGGAAACTTTGGCGAGGAAGACGGGTTTGTAGCTGGTTACGTATACACACGGCAGTGACTCTCAAAGTTCCGTTTCTACGGAACTTCTGATAATGATTCGAAACCTCAACTCGACCATCGTTGATAGAAAAAACAGATCGCTTTCCGAAGAGCGCATAATGCTCTTCGCAGAGTCGTTAAAAATTAATAAACAGACGTGAAAGAGGGATAGATACGTAGAGAGAGAGAGAGAGAGAGAGAGAATGGGAAGGAGTCTGTAGCGTTTAAAAGACTGTTTGCGTAAAATATTTCATCATCGCCTTCTCGGCGATATTTTCTCTCACGTAAACGGATTTGCTCGTTCTCCGTTCATTAAATCATCGCTTATTACGGCGAGATATTATTATTTTTTTTTTTATAGGAGCGCAGGAACAAGAGTTATACGCGCGTTCGAACGAGAGAAAGATACGCGTCGTGATTGCACTCGGAGCGTCTGGACTCGTTAGGGAACGCTCGCGTTTTTTTTTTTTCCCCCCAGACGCCATTGCCACGTGAATTATGCAAGCCACGCGTATTCTTATTACGCGTTGGTTGTTTTTAGTGCGCATTATCCCGAGATGCGTCGTAAAACTTGCGCTTTATCGCGCGCCGAATTATGCGCCGCTCGCCGGCGAATGCGGAGAGCTTTAAATAAATTTATGCATCCCCCCTCGCGGCGGCGAGGGATATTAAAGTTTGAGAACCGCTATGAGTTATATAACCGTCTGTGTCGTACGCATCTTCGGTTGTTATGCTTCGTGATAGACCCATTGAACTATATGTACATACACCTCAGCCGGAGGCGTAACGACGACAGTCGACTCGTGAACCCGACCGTTAAAGACGAGAGTCGCGAGGAAAGCGAAACTACCGGGAGTAGTCTGCCTTGATTGGCGTTCTGCATCAAGTCTGAGTTTGTAATTCATACTGGTTGCGCGTACCGGAAGCGCAGAGCCGTGTGCTATCGCGAACCGTCACTCGTGACGACGACGACGACGACGAACTGTGCGTCGAGATGTCTGCGTTTGACCGGCGTTCCGGTGATTCCGTACGGTTTCGCGGGGAAACCGAGCCACATTAAACGTGCGCTATTATGAGCGATTATTCGAACGGCAATGATTACGTTTGGCGAAATGATAGTGATGTAACTCGGTGAAAACTAAAACCCCCTCGGATCGCAATCCCATCCACGCCGGATTATTTCACGTAATTACGAATTATATTGCGGGCGCGTAGCTGCGTTTCATGCTGTGTTTACTCGCGTTCATTTAATCGGCGCGCAACGAGAAATTTACCGCTTTATAACGACGCATGTAAAAGTTACCGGTTCCGTGCCGCTTCCTTCCGCCGGCGCGGCAATATACGTCACGCGGATTAATTAAGACGACAACGTCCAATTAGCGAAGTACCGAAATTCGTATCATCGCGACGGGCCAGCGTTGTACGAGAAAAACACCGCAAGCGGAACAACGAAGTGCGCGACCGTATGAAAATAGCGCTCTTGTATCAGAGCGCGCGCGCAACTATCGTGATTAAATTCGGCTAATATTGCCGTCGAAATACAACGTCAGGATCGTATTTCGACTGCCGCGGACAAATAGCGCGGTAATTTGTATTAACGGCTCGGAAAGCGACGGCATCTCCGCGTTTTCATTGCCCCCCCC